GTTTCGTGCTTCTAAATCATGTCACTTTCATGGCCCATATGTGCCATAGGGACAGTGTTTCGTGCTTCTAATTGCTCTTTCTCACCTTTTTTATCTGAAAACCTATATTTGCCAGCGTCCGTGAGATATTGTCAGGTCTTTGCATCAATGCTACTACAACATTGTATTTCATCATAAACTCTGGAACTTTGATGAAATATTGATGATTTCTTGAGAGAGCATCTCCTGTGGATTAACAGACATGATAACACAACTCAGACTTGATTAAGACCTTCTTTCATTCACATATACACACGATCCTTAGATAAGGGCAAGGGGATCTAATATCTTCCCATTGGTATTTAGCAAGCAGGTCACTACCCAATGCTATCATAGAAGATAAGGAATTCCATTAGTAATTACAATTCTGAAAAGTTCTCAGACCCATTTAGATAAGAATAATGCCATTTTATCTAGAACACTTCCTTGTTAGAAGGAGCTTTGATTATTTATCATCATGGAAATATATTCTGGTATACTGCAGCCACAATATCCCTTTGAACAGTTAACATTCCTAAATAAAGCATGCAGCTCTCAGTAACCTTTGCCAAGAAATAGTGACACAGGAAACTGCCAGGTATTGATACAGACCACTGATCCATCAAGCTAAATATTTTCTCCATTGAGTGAAAACAGCTTCCCAATCCCAGTTTTCTTGAAATTTTGGAAATTGAAATAGGGAGCTCTGGCACCATTAAATTCAATGAAACTTAAGTCAAGCTGGATACACACAGATTATACATTCATGCATTGTAAATGTCATAACCTTCATTAAATGGAAGGCCATTCATTAGCCTTGGGTAAGATGATCTTTGTTAAAGAATAGCAACACTGTAGATATGGTTTCATGTTGTATACAATATATAAACATTTTTAATAAATGCATGTACGTAAATAACAAATCTAAATATAAATGTCAGACTTTGGAGATAATGTAAAAGTAACTGAGACAGCAATTCTGACCCAACACTGGAAGTTTTTAAGAAGAGATATAACCATTTGTCTGAAATGGTATAGGGTTCCTTGCCTAAACAAGGGATTGGACTTGAAGCCCTCCAAGGTCCCTTCCAACTCTGTTATTCTATTCTATTTGCCCAAGAGTAAGCCCTAGTGCCCTTAGTGGGTCTTACCTCTACATAAACTTGTGTATGATTTCATTGCAAAATGCTGAAGTACGATTTAAGAAGTCCCTGCTTTACATTTTGTGTCTCCGACAGTGATGTGATTGCTAAGAATCAACAACAACTTGAAAGTACATAATCAATGAAAATGATTATTATTGTCACCATCATTTTTTTCCAAAATAAGTGTGTCTAGAAATGCAGCCCAATTCAAATTTTCTCTCTTGTTGTCTGTTTTAAATATTGTTTTAAATCCAGGTAGTCTTCATTTAACATCCATTTATTCAGAGATTATTCAAAATTATGACAGCATTGAACAAGGGATACTTTACTATGGGTCCTCCTAGTTGTAGCAGTTGCAGTGTCCCCGTGGTCACATGATCACAATTTCAGTATTCAGCAACCAGTTTACAATCACAGCATTCTGTAATCATATTATCACTATTTGTAACCTTCATGTTAGAGGTGGTATTCAGCAGGTTTTGACCAGTTCTGGAGAACCAGTAGTGGACATTTTGAGTAGTTCAGAGAACCGGCAAATACCACCTCTGACTGGAGATTTTACAGTCTCCTTCCCCTGCCACGCCCACCAAGCCACACCCACAGAACTGGTAGTAAAAAAAATTGTATCCCACCACTGCTTCAAATGGCTTCCACCAAGCAAAGTCAATGGGGAAGCTGGCAGGAAATTGCAAATGGGAATCACATGACTGTGGAACATTATATGACCATATGGGAGTCATCTAATAGTGGCATCTGGGACTGTCGCAATTACCACCATAAGTTGGCATGGTCATGGATGCCGTGTTTTACAATCACATTGCTTAGTATTAGAGTTTTCATTCCCAGTTACTGTCGGCAAAATTGGATTACCTGTAATCTGAATAAAAACTCAAGAGATACTACACAGACTGTCATTTCTGTTTATTCATCACATACAGGTCAAAATTACCCATATCAAGATTTGCCATGTAATTAGAATATTGCTAAACATGATACCCCTGTGAAAATTGTTTAGGATACCAACTTATTACTTGAGGCTACTTACTTTGATAGTTGCTCCCTTCTGGAGATAATTGGTTGAAATACGAAACCACAGACCAAGACGTATTGTTCTCCTTACCAAAATCCAGGAATGTGGGCAAATTATTGCAAACAGACAGGAACGAAAAATTGTCTTTCAAATCTTCAAATGATATCCTGAGAAAAGAGAATGTGGATTTGGGCTGCAGACAAATATTAGTTACAATTTCTAGTGTGAATTTGCAATTTTTAGAAGCCTAAAAAAATTTCCTATGTAGGTAGGTATGTGTATAGATATAGAGAGATATAATTTAACACAGAGAAATCCCTCAAAGCCTATTTCATTAATGTGATAATACCAGAATTCGCCATCAGCCCTGTTCACATAGAATTTGTCCTTGAATGATTGAGGGACTCGATCCCACTCCATGGAACTGTAAAAGAAATCAAAATTATATATCACTTGAAAGCTACCAATAGTCTTGCCATTCTAACGCTAGCTTGTAGACCTTTTCATGTATAAACTCCACTTTGAAGATACACATCTAAAGCTTGAAGTCCAAATGGTGGAGAATTGCACCAAAGAAAATGCCCTTCCCAACTGTGCATTTCATTTTGGATGTTTTTTATGCAGAAATATTAATTCGCTCAACATATTTTGTAGTAACTTTTTCATCTGTCTTTGGGCTTGGCCTGTTTTACTATGGAGTTTGTGGAATTCTTCTCATTACTGGATTCAGTTTGCTTCATTCGGCTGCTTCTAATGCTACTGTGACCTTTACAACAAAATCGCAAGGATAATTACAGGGGAAGAGAGTTCTTCTCTAATGAGATAGTCAGCTTTCCACAACAAAACCCAGGAAGTGAATAAAATAGATCCTGGAAAATAGAGCTGATGCAAATACATCCTAACTAGTTGTTCCAAGCAATAGAATTGAAAACAGTGCCCTTGTTCCGTTCCCCTTTTCAAGGATTTCTGCAAATCATGTAGTGAAGTTGCAAAGAATCATTTTATCATGACAACAAATATTAGACAAATTGCTGGGTAGGTAGCGCTCTTTACGGCAGTTTCCTCCCATTTCTTGAAAGAATACATGGACCTCCCCTGTCCTTTATTGTTACAGATAGTCCCCAAGTTACAACGGCAATTGGGACCAGAATTTCAATTGCTAAGAGACATGTAAATAAAGTGTAATGTGACATGAATATACCACTCAGCAGTGGAAATCTTGGAAATCCCAGTTGCCATTGTAACAGGATTGTGTGGGTTGTTAAGCAGAAAGAGTTATGTGATTGTACTGTATGTTCATACCAACATTCTGATTTAGGCACTGAGGACTAGTGTGCAACTGAACAGGAAAAATACCACTGAAAAAGAAAGCTTGACGCAAATTGCAATAGCACTTAGACTTATATACTGCTTCACAGTGCTTTACAGTCCTCTCTAACTGTTCACAGAGTTAGCATATTGCCCCCAACAGTCTGGGTCCTCATTTTACCCACCTCGGAAGGATGGAAGGCTGAGTCAACCTTGAACCTGGTGAGATTCAAACTGCCAAATTACAGGAGTCAGCAGTCAACAGAAGTCGCCTGCAGTACTGCACTCTAACCGCTGTACCACCAGAGAGGATTCAAGAAACCTACTACTGATTTACATGTGTTTACATGTGTCTGTGGATGAAAGCCAACCAAAAAATAACAGGACCCAAAGATATAATATAGCTGTGCAATTCTCAATATAGACAAACAAACAAGTAAATTTCAAATGTATTTTGAAACTCTTGTTATTTAATTAATTAACTCAAAATCCAGACAGAAACTCAGGGGGAGTGATTTTTAAAAACCTAACATTTACTTATGCAGGTCAGTTATAGGCTGGTCACTGAACTGGGATTTCTGGGAATAAAAGTTTACCATCATCATGAACTGAGGATATGCTTGGAATGCAGGTCGGGTTCAGTTAAGGTCAACTTCAATGTTCTCATTGGTTAAAGTGTAGTATTGGATGGCTTCTTTATTAAGAAAATAATTATTTCCATCTCTGACTTCTGATATTACCTCTCAGCAAACTCATTACAGGGAATTAGCTATCTAACTGTGTTAATTCCCAAGCTGCAATTTTATAATTAAGTGATAATTGTATTGTCTGCTTAGTATGAGCTAGGCGTGAATCAATAAATGTATTGATTCACGCAACTTAAGGCTGCTTCACCAAAATTTCAACTGAATCCAAATTAGACATTAATTTTTGGACATAGAAAAGCTGTAGAAGTTAGTTGCATTCCATTTTCAAGGAAATTTAATTTTTTGATACTTTTCAACAAGAGTTCTGTTAACAGCACCAATGGAAAAGAAGCTGTAAAACTATAGCATTGCTCCCGATCTTAAAACCAGAAAATGGTCCATGTTATCTAACATGATCGTTCTCTGTTTTCTGCATAGAGTACTATGGAAAAATCACAAACTTATGATTTTTTTCACTGATGTCAATAAAACTATGCAAAATTATTCCCATGGAAAGCAATGAGGCTTAATAATACTTTTTTTTATTTTGTTTTTTGGATTGAACCCAGGGTAATTCTAGCAAATTGTTTCTAAATGTGATGAAGGAAAATACTATACAATGCCTGAAATTAGGAACCAGATGATAACCTGCCAAAATTGAATAGCTGGAAAGGCTAAAGGGAGCTATTTCAGTTTCTCCAAGCTATAATTTTGCAAATGATTTTAGCAGCCGAGATGGACTATTTACTACCGTAGCAGGTTGCAATGTTGGTTTCCTTTCCTCCCACATTTTTAACTTATATTTAAAAATAATAGATCTCCTACTGTCTGTGGTCTTGCTGGCAGCAATAAACAGCTGTCACAATGCTTTTCTTGGCACCTCCTATAGTTCCCTTGCCAGAGATGGTGGTGGTGGTAGTGGTAACAACAGAGGATCTCTGCTTCTACAACTTCTTTCCAAGGATTTTAGGACAGCTGAAAGATCCGTTTCCAGCTTAGAATCTTTTAGATCAGGGGTGTCTAACCTTGACAACTTTAAGACTTGTGATCTTCAATTCCCAGAATTCCCTAGCCAGCATGGCTGGCTAGGGAATTCTGGGAATTGAAATCCACAGCTATTGATGTTGCCAAGGTTGGACATCCCTGTTCTGGATTATTTGGCTTCATGATTTCTGTATCCTTGCCCACAGACCATATTGGCTGAGATGTTGTATAGATATAGTATACAAAAGTTATCATTTACCCAATTTAAATTTTCCTCTAAGTGCAAATTGCAGTAACAATTCAGTTTGGGGTGTGGGAGGAGACAATCAAAAGTAAGATTTGGCATTATCCAGATGAAGATAAATGAAATGGAAATGCCAAGGGATGCCTTGAATTTAAAATAGAGCATGAAATGCTGATCCATGTGTTGCAAGATTAGTTCCTGCAGAAGTATTATTATTATGCCAAATCCCTACATGCTAAGCCTTAAAAATAATGTTTTTATTCCAAGACCTCAAGGGAGTCACCCTTCTTATGAAATAAAAGGTTGCAAAATCATACTGATCACTCCAAGCTCCATTCCATTCCACAGTGCCCCACGGATTCCAAAGTTTGATTAAAAGTTCTTTCCCGTCCATGTAAGGAACCTGTTAAAAAGAAAGGAAGGGAAAACATTCTAACTTTATATATTTGGCATGAGGGAAGAGGCACACAGATATGTTTCCTTTTATATTTTGGTGGATATCTCTTGAAATATCTTTAGTTGAAATGTGATCCTGTTATGGAAATCCTTTTCTGAACTCTCATATGACTTTATTCAGAATATAAAATGCTATCAGAATTAATTTTGATCCCAAGGATACTGCTATTTTAATCTATAGATATGAGTCCTTTTCCTTCACATTAACATTTATTATTGAAAAGAAAGTGAAGATGACCAGCAGTAAGATAGATGGGGTAAGTTACAGTGATGATGGGTGCAATATTGGAAGACCTGAAGGACCAAGTTAAGAACAGATCATCCTGGAAAATATCTCTCTCTATGGGCTCTAAGACAGGGGTCTCCAACCTTGGCAACTTTAAGTCCTGTGGACTTCAACTCCCAGAGTTCCTCAGCCAGCAAAGCCCACAAGTCTTAAAGCTGCCAAGGTTGGAGACCCCTGCTCTAAGAGACTACACTGACTTGGTGGCACATAATCAATCAACCAACATTTATTACAAAAATAAAAGTAACCTGTAGATTTATGAAAATTTCAATTTGGGCTTTGGGTGATATGCAGATTTTTAGGGGAAAAAAACATTTCTTTTAGGAGGCATTGCTTTATGCACTTCCATTTACGAATAAATAAGAAACACAAAAAGCTTCCAATGAGATACATAATACATCTAAAAGGTCTGTCATCTTGGAATATATTCACTGAATTCTGAATGACTCTCATTTGGATATTGACCTCTCTGTCTCAGTATCTAAGTGCTATCTGTTCACACTTGGAATGTTTTTTTTCCTAACTATACTTATTGCCAAAAAGCTCTCCTTCCAGGTCATTTTAGGATCACTTTTCATATAAGTCTCTGAAATGTTTTGCTTAAGAAATATATCATAGAATATCATAACTTCTGGAGAGGGGGAAGAGAACAAGCTCAGATTTCAGGCAATTCATTCTCTTAGAAATAGCCAACGTTTTCCCCTTGTTCTTATAACGAATTCAATCATGTCACCCAGATGCTTTGACCTCCACTTCTAACTCAGCATGGATGTTTCAGCAAGTGATAAAACTGCATGGAGAATGACTGGCATGAGCCAGCAACTTATATAACTGCAATGAAATCATTTTATAACTCAGAAATTGCTACACGTCATATCCATACACAGGCTAATTCACATTAGTTTTCTCAGTATAATGGGGAAAAATGAATGTCTGCATATAAACCAAATTCTTCAATCTTTTGTGTTTGGGGGTTGATTAGAATAACCTGAGAATATCACAAGAATTTCACCTCTCTATAGAGAAATCATTGGTAGATAAGTACAGTATTATCTAGTGTAGTTCCTGGTATGGAGCCAGTGGTTAATGCATCACCTTAATCATAAAAGTTTATGGCTTAAGCAAAGTCATTATAATAATTAAAGTCTTTATGCTTAAAGGGAATATATTAAATCATAATACTGAATGAATATCATTATCTGTTTAATCATATATTCTGTACAACAGTAGTATCATTATTGGCTTCCAAAGTGTTCTGTGTAAATGCAAAGGAACATTAAAAAGCATTGATTATTATTATTTTCTCATAGGGGATTGGCTGTCACCACAATAACATTTCATACCTGTATGTGATGGTGTGCAGTGTGGGTGGGAAGGGTATTTGAAAGAGGTGTCTGTGTTGTAGCAACATCTGTGAACAGTGATAATTAAGCCAGCCAACTGGATTTGCTATTTCAATTTCCCATTAGACTCACAAAATACATCTCAAAGTCATCTAATGTAATACCCGTTTTTCCATGACCCATTATCCACAGATCTAGGAGGAAACCCACTAGAAGTTACATTGTGAAAGGCTCCTTCAGAAATGGAGCTGGTCTTCAAAGAGAAATGTCTTCATGATATATTTGGCTGCTTAAGACTAGATCAAGATATTTGCAAGACAATGGATGTCGGCAGCTATTGTCATCACTGTGCCCTTCTCTCCCTCTGCAGAAAGCCTGATCAATTCTGTATCTCATATTAAGGGGTAGGCTTGCTGCTACTGATGTGAGGAAAACCAGAGGATTAGATTAAAGTCACTGTCTTTCAAGACCTCTTCTCTTGTTATTGTGGATATTAACATCAGAAATTATGTCTCTAGTGGGATGAACACGAAACTCATCCTGATCCTCTTAACTGCAATAACTCCTTTGCTTTCTTTCACAACTGTTGGATTATTTCTTCTGGCTAAATTGATCTACTCTGGAGAAGATGATATTAATATTTGGGGAAGGCAAAGGCTTGTGCTTTGGAAGAATAAGTCTGAGTAAATGACTTCTTCATCCTATTCCAAATTTCTGACCCTCCATTTCAGTGTAAACTGCAAAGCTGAGCTTGAGCTTGAGCTATGTAGCATAACCCACATTTCTTGGGTGGTTGTCACTGGATGTGGTTTTTAAAAAATCTTTTAAGGGATGTATAATTCTACTAAGTTTTCTATCAAATAGAAAAGGTCCTTTAAGGCTTCAACAGCAGACTTTCTGGGAAACTTAAATTACATTCAATCTTTCTTGCCATCCTACTGTCTTTTATTACACAAAAGTATGTTTCTTGTTCCCAGAAAATGAAAGAGAGATATTTTCAGTACCAATGAATTTTCTATTGAGTGTGTGTGTGTGTGTGTGTGTGTGCATGTGTGTGTGTGTGTGATTATTTACTGTGGGATTACACATCTATAGAACCAAACATAGTCTGTTTGCATGAAAATTGAAAGTGTGAAAATAGCATGCCATTCAGAGCAGCAGACATTTTTAGTGCTAAATTCATATATTTATTCTTTTTTTTTTATTCTGAATGGAATGGAAATCAAGGCCATGGAATATCCAAGTGGTTTCTTGCATAGACATTATCTAGATTTAGCTGTGCTTAACTTCAGCATCATGCACGAACTATCAAGTGCTATCAGACAATAACTGAAAATCAATCCACAGAAATACTCAATGTTCTTATGATCTTATCTATATGAGGCAATTGTTTCATTTCACCCAAGAAACAACCTGTTATTCAGAGATTTTTGGAGGGATGATGTCATTCCATGGCTCAGAACAAACAGGGTTTTTTCTTTTGCTGCATCTCAACAAACTTACACACTACACATGTGGACAGGGAAGATTTCAGAAATGGTGCAGTGATGCTACTCTACTACACCTCTTGCAGAAAATAATGAAGAACCCCATTTTCTGTCCTTCCTAAGTATCTCTGGGTCCTACAACTTGACTCCCCTACCTTTTGTGTAGTAATTGAAATAAACTTCAGAGGTTTTGCTTTTCCTTGCTGTTGAATTACAGGATGCATTTTTACATTGGCCTCAGCTGTAGAATTGTTTTCTCAGTCCCTAGAAAGCCAACAGAAATTGCTCTGACTTATACCACCTTTAGATGATAATGGTGATAAGAATGCATCCCACCATTTCTTCACAGAGAAAAAAGGGGATACGGTGGGAGATTTTTGGTTATTGTCTGATGCAACTGCTCGATTCCTGGCAGTTGAATTTCATGAATATTGATGCCTCCTCAACAAACAGAATGAAGAATCTTTTTTGGGCCTCTATGCAGGCATTTAAATGAAAGTGCAGAAGCTGGCAGTTGGCCAATGACTCATTAAATTAATACCTTAAAGGAGCATCTGTCATGCTCTTTTCATGAAATCTTGTGAGTCCTCATCAAAATCACCTGCAGCTATAGATTTGAGGGTTGCTGTGGCAACTCCATTCTTTTGGCAGTTTGTCCTTGAGCAAGGTGGTTCTGCCTTGTATCAGATCAATCACCAGTCCTGTGAGGTCACACTAGCATCCTTAAAATATCTACTTCAGTTATAGAATGTAATTTCTACTACGTGGTTTTCAACCCTTGAAATCTTCTGACATTAAGAATGAAGCCTAAGCAGCTTACTAGTTCTCACTGCATTGAACACAATCACTTTGCTTATGATAGTTTCAAATTAAATTATCTCCATGGAATGAGCCTACTTATCTCTTTATTCATTTACATTCTGTTAGCCTCTTGAAATTTGCTGGGGTTTCTTTTTCAGTAGCAAGTTATCTTTTAGTACCATTGGCTTAGACAATAAATATTAACTACGGGCTCAGAATTTTTAATCCTTTACTTGAAAACAGCAAATTGGCTGGCTATGGACTTGACTAAATTAATCATTTATTTTTTACTCCAACAAAAAGTTGCTTGGAGTACTTTTGGAAAGCAGGACTGATGGGGTGAAATCACTTTGAGGAAAGGAATATTACCTTCTGGTTCATAAAGCAATATATTGACAAAAATAAGGAGAAAAAACAGTAGGACAGTTGCCAGTTAGAAGATAAGACAATAGTGAAAGTGGAGATTTATTTATTTTACCTCTCTGGCATCTATAACAGCATAGACATGTTGCTGCACAATTCCATTCTCCAACACTTGTCTACCCGTTTTTTTCTGAAAGAGTACAAAACAGTTTTACTCTCTCTAAAACATTTACATTTGGTCCAACAAATAACCAGATATTTTTATTTTGATGGCACAGTGGCTCAGTAGTTAAGATGATAGCCTTGTTGACTGGAAAGCTGGGAGCCCAGGTTCAAGCCTTGGTACCACACAACAGGGTGAGTTCCTGTCTTCGCTCCAGCTTCTGCCCATCTAGCAGTTCAAAAGTATGCAAATGCAGTTAGCTAAATAGGTCCCACTTTGGTGGGAAGGTAACAGCCACATGACCTCAGAAATGTCTTTAGACAACACTCAATGGCCTTGAAATGGAGTTAAGCATTGCCCCTTATAATGACAACGAGTAATGGAGCAAAATCCACAGATTTACATTTACCTTTTTTTGATGGGAATAAAATCTGGATCTTTTTTTCATAGAAGATGCACAGCCAGCACTAAAATTATGGGTGCTTGCCCTTAGGTACTACTTATGGCATAAGCATAATTGAGCTACCTCAGCTGAATAGCTTTGACTTGCCACCTGCTGTGTTTGATAAGCTACCTATTTTTAAAGCAACACAAGGAATCAAAAAAAGAGGTTTACTTAAGATCACTACAAGGCATATGAATTTTAATTTGCTTCTTCTGCTTTTGAGAGGGGATGATCTACTTCCCCTCTAGCAGAGTAAATTTCTAGATCTCAGTCTTGTTCCTGAGAAAGTCTGCTTAAGCCCAAATAGTATGCTATTACTGAGAGTTAGCAGAGGCAGATGGGAATTGTATTTCAGAAAATATATAAGCTGATCAAAGACCCTTCCAGCTTTGTTTAACCTTTAATAAGTATGGTGAGTTTATAACAGCATTGAACTCTGTATACATAGGCATTGGATTTTCTCTAGTGCTCCATGAAATGACCAAGAAATGACCAAGAAATGTAGATGTAGAAATCTTTCTGCAGAAAGCATGCTTAGACTGTATGCCAATCTTTTTGAAGTTTTAAAGAAAACTAGAAAAACATTCCTTAACAACCTTTCAGGGTTTTTTTCCCTACTTTTTTGGTGGGGTGGGATGATAAATGCTAGCTGTGCTGTGCTTGTTTGTTTGTTTCTTGCCTTTATAATTTTTACAAATAACACAAGATGGCAAACACCCACAATACTTCTTCCTCCTCCTGTTTTCCTCACAACAATCCAGTGAGATGGGTTGAGCTAAGAAAGAATGACTTGCCCAAAGTCAATCAATCAATCAGAATAGAGCTGGTAGGGACCTTTGAGGTCTTCTAGTCAATCCCCTGCTCAAATAGGAGACCCCATTTCAGACAAGTGAAGGTTCAGTCTCTTCTTAAAAGCCTCCGATGATGACAGCTTCCGTGGTTAAGGTATCACAGTCTCCCAATTTCTAGACTGGTTTCTTAACCACTAGACCAAACTGGCTCTCAGAATTGACAATTCCATAATAGATTCTGTTGGAATTGACCATTCCAAATCTTTTCTTATGAAACTTGGAGTTAATTTAATTTATATCTCTATTATGGATGATTAATCTACATTTAGAAAATGAAAAAAGAACATTCTGGATTCAGTTGTGGATAAGGAATCCAATTTCACCAATTCCTATTTAAGTAAAACACTAGAAAAGTAAAATCATCCATCCCAAACTTGCTAATAAATGCCATCTTATAAATGTCAATTTGAATAATTGAATTTCCTCTTCTTCCTTTTCCCTCTACTCCTCATCCTTTTATTTCTTTTTATTGGTGGTTGTGAACTGGCTTTAGAATTTAGTCTTTATAAATTGACAACAGCTGCTTTGGGAAACAGTTAATAGAAGAACAGAATCAAATATAGGAAGTAAGTAGGCATGTAAAGGACCCTATATGATCTGATTTAGGCTGCAAGGACATTACTGAGATTGAATCCTAAGGGCAGCACATGTTTGAATGTTCTTATCCAAGCTATCTCCTTATATCTATCCATCTGTATTACTACATCCAGCTTACACTACTGGAAGCAGTATTGAAACAAGAAAAAGTAGCATTCTGACCAACTCTTTAGGATTTTAAACATGGGAAGGAGAACACCAATTGAAATTCCAAGGCAACCCATGCCCTGCTGCATCATCATTACTGAGATACTTCCTTACCTAAAAAGAGTAACAGAATAACCAGAGGTAGGCAAAAAAGCAATGGGCACAAGACTTTCTGCCAGCTTCCCCATTGACTTTCCTTATGGGAAGCTGGCGGGGAGCACTGGAAATCCTTCTTTCATTTCTTCCTTCTTTCCTCCCTCCTTCCCTCTCTGTCTCCCTGCCTCCCACAGCATTATGGGAATCTTTCAGGGAGAAAGTAAGGAGGAAGCTATCAGGAAGTTGCAAATCCAAGGCCACAGACAAGTAAATGGGAAAGGAGTGAGGGGATGCAGTGGGGTGCAGATTGGAAAGGGTGCATGGGGGTGCACATGTGGATTGGACTAGTTTCTGGGTGTGTGCAAGAGATACTGCATGTCAGGGAGGATACATGGTTGGGCTCTGTGGGTCAGGAAGTGACCCACATAATAGGGGTGTGAGAAGTACTGAGTGGGTTGGGCAGGGCATATGGGAAAGCAGCATAGGTCAGAAAGGCACCTAGGGAGTTTGGGAGTTCACTAGAGGTGCCATGTATGCTAGGAATAGCATGCAAGAGAGACAGCATGGGTTGGAAAGGGGAATGGACATCAATGTGACTCAGGGATGGCATACGGGGGAACAGCATAGGCCAGTAAGAGTGTGGAGGGGTCCCATTCCTCTAATTCTATAGTGTATCCAAAATTCTGTGCCCATGCAATCATTGTGCTTTTGACTATTTCCTCTTCCATTTTGAAATCTAATAAATATTTGTATAGTTTAGTTATAAGTTTTTGTTCTGGTCCCATTAATATTTTATCTAATTGGTTCTGCCCTTTGTCAAATCCAAAATCTTTTAAATCTTTTTTAGATTTATTTTGAATTTGCAAATATGGCCACCAGTCGATTATGATTCCATTTTCCTTCAGTGCTTGGTTTGATTTTAATTTCCCTTGACTATCTAATAATTCTTCATAGCTTACCATTTTCCTTAGGTCTAATCTATTTGGATGGATTATGGTTTCCATGTTTGACAGCCATCATGGGATTTCCATATAGTGTTTGCCTTTGATTTTTTTCCAAGTTGTAATCAATTAATCTCTTATTAAATGTTGATTGAAATAAGTATGTACATTACTTTTGTTATCCCACAAAAATGCATGCCAACCTGTCAGGAGGTCATGTCCTTCTAATGTTAAGATTCTCTTGTCTCTTAATTTAACCCAATCCTAAATCCAACTCAACACCACTGCCTGGTAATAAAGCTCCCATTCTGGTAGTCCAAGACCGCCTCTGCTCCTATCATCTTGTAATAATTTCATTTTGATATGTGACCACTTGCCCAACCAGACAAACCTGGATGTCATTTTATTTAGTTCTATAACGAAAGATTTCCCTGATTTAATTGGGATCATTTGGAATAAATATATTAGTTTTGGTCAAGTATTCATTTTCAGCGTTGCTATTCTTCCTAATATAGACAGTTTCAATTTTGCCCATAATTCCAATTCTTTTCTGATTTGCTTAATCAGATTAACATAATTGTCCTCTTTTAGTGATGAGCATCTGGGTGATATCTAAATTCCCAGGTATTTCACCTTTTTTACTATTTGCAGTCCCATTATATTTTCTAATTCTACTTTGTTTTGTTTTACAGTTTTTGACTATCATTTTAGTTTTATTTTTATTTATTTTAAGTCCTGCCACTTCCCCAAATTTTTCTATTGCAACAATATTGGTCCCGAATTCATTGGATCTTCCACTATAAATACCAAATCATCGGCAAATTCCTGAACTTTATATTCCTCATTTCTAATTTTAATTCCATGAATCTCTGGATTTTGTCTGGTTACAGCCAGCAACACTTCTAAAGACAAGATAAATAACAGAGGCGATAATGGACACCCTTGTCTCACTCCTTTTGCAATTTCAAAATCTTCAGTGCAATCTCCATTTAATAATACACTTGCTTTTTGATTTGAGTATATTTCTTATAATGTTTTTATCTATATTAGTACCAAAATTCAGCTTTTTAATTTGATATAACATGAATTTCCAATTAAGATTATCGAATGCTTTTTGCGCATCTAAGAAAATTAAGGCTGCCTGTTTTTCTGGGTGAGCTTCATAGTATTCAATCGAATTTAGTACTGTCCTAATATTGTTTTTGATTTGTCTATTTGGCAGGAAACCATTCTGGTCTGTACGTATAAGTTCACTCAAAATTGGTTTCCTTCTTTCTGCCAATATTGTCATAAATATCTTATAATCCGTATTTAGTAACAAGATTGGCCTATAGTTCGCAATTAGTTGTTGATCAGTGCCATCTTTTGCAATTAAGGAGATGTATGCCTTGGACCAGGACCTCGGAAGTCCAGCTTGCGTTAATGCCTCATTATATAGTTCCAGTAATATTGGTTCAAATATTTCAGATAAATTTTTATATAGTTCGCCTGGTAGACCATCCGGACCTGGTGTTTTATTATTTTTTTGTTTTTGTATCGCCTTTTGTAACCTTGTTAGTGTAATTTCTTCATTAAGTATTTCTCTGTTTTCTTCTGAGATTGGGCTCAGACCGTTTCCCTCCAAGTAGTATCTGATGCTTTCTTCCATAACTTCTTCTTGCTTATAAAGCTCGCCAAAATACCTTTGTGCAATTCTCTTTTTCTCCTCCATCTGATAATACACTGTCCCTTCCTCATCCTTAAGTTGCTGAATTAGTCTTTTCTCTTTTTCTCTTTTTAATTTATGGGTTTATTTGCTGATTCAAAGAAATTATGTTTAAGAGTTTTAACGTTACATGCATTTTCCTCAATATCTATCAAATTTAATTCATGTCTAATCATCCCTATTTCTTTCTTAGCTTCCATATTTTTTGGGTCTTTTTGGAGCTCATATTCAAATTTTTTAATCCTTTCTTGTAATTTATTCTGTTTCTTCCATTTTTCTTTGTTTTTCTTAGCTATATAGGCTATTGATATGCTTCTCACGAAGGCCTTTGTAGTGTCCCATAAATTTTGTAAACTAGTATGTTGTTTTAAATTTACCTTAAATAATATTTCTAACTCATTTTTAATTCTTGAAATATATATTTTTTCTTTTGTTATTTGTGAATTTAATATCCATCTCCTTTTCCTTTTATTATGTCCTTTCCATGTAATTTTAACCGGGCTATGATCGGCCCATATATTGGGCATTATCTCTACTTCACTAATATCTTTCTCGATTGCCCCACTGACCCATACCATATCATTTCTGGACCATGACTTTTGTGGATTAGAATAAAACGTAAATATCTTCTCATTTGGATTCCTCTTCCTCCATATGTCTTCCAAATTGGTCTCTTGTGCTAAGTCAAAAAATTTTTTGGTAGAATTCTCTTTTTTTTTCTTTCTAATCCCTTCCGTAGTAATATAATCTTTTTTAACATCAACAATGATGTTAAAGTCCCCTATCAAGCAAATATTTTCTTCACCTACACTAATTATTTTATCATATAGTCCCTTATAAAATTTATTCTGGTTATCGTTAGGGGCATATATCCCCACCAATAGTAATTGTTTTTGATGTAAATTAATTTGCATCATTAAAATTCTGCCTTGTTCATCTACATAATTTTTTTTTTGCATTTATCCCTTTTTTTACATAAATTGCTACCCCCCTTTTTCTTTTGATCTGCCAATGCTGTAAATAATATACCCAACTCAGGATATTCTAGATATTTTTTATGTTATTTTTGGATATGTACCTCCTGCAATTTTTTGTTTAGTTAATATTAGTTTAGTTAGTTTCTGTCTCCCTGCCTTCCACAGCATTATGGGAAACTTTCAGGGAGAAAGTAAGGAGGAAGCTATCAGGAAGTTGCAAATCCAAGGCCACAGACAAGTAAATGGGAAAGGAGTGAGGGGATGCAGTGGGGTGCAGATTGGAAAGGGTGCATGGAGGAGCACATGTGGATTGGACTGGTTTCTGGGTGTGTGCAAGAGATACTGCATGTCAGGGAGGATACATGGTTGGGCTCTGTGGGTCAGGAAGTGACCCACATAGTAGGGGTGTGAGAAGTACTGAGTGGGTTGGGCAGGGCATATGGGAAAGCAGCATAGGTCAGAAAGGCACCTAGGGAGTTTGGGAATTCACTAGAGGTGCCATGTATGCTAGGAATAGCATGCAAGAGAGACAGCATGGGTTGGGAAGGGGAATGGACATCAATGTGACTTAGGGGTGGCATATGGGGGGGAACAGCATAGGCCAGTAAGAGTGTGGAGGGGTTTGTTTCTCCCTTTCCCTCCTTCCTTCCCTTCCTCCCTATTTCTCCCTTCCCCCATCCCTTCCTTCTCTCAGGTAAGTAGTTGCTCTGGGAGGGAGAGGGAGGGACTGCAAGAATGACTAGGAAACTGTCATGGATCTTTGATAGCAAGGATTGCATCACCACAACAGCAACCAGGAGCAGCATTCTGGTATTTGAAGTAGCCACAACTTTTGCAAACTTCATTGCCTTGGGAGTCATGATTTCTGGATTTTGGACATATCTTATGAGTTAGCCCATTTGAGGTACTTGGTTCAAAAATTGTTGCTCTATGATGCACTGTTTCACCCAGTGAAAGGTTATAGAAATGAGGGTTTTAGCAGTAATTAAATAGCATAACACTTCACGTAATTTAATAAAATTACTACATGCTAATAAGGACATTTATTGCACTCAAGATTTATACCGTCTTCATAACATCACCCACTCTTTGTGGTTGTAATAAAACATTCCTCCTCATTTCGGTACAACAATGATTGGGTGACTTTAGAAGACTGGGAAAATAGTAAAAATGTGATAAGTTCCAGAAGCAGCAGATTTCTGGATTTATTCAGAGTTGGGGGAATTTTAACTTTTTTTGTTTTTGTATTTGGGATGGGAATGGCTAATAATGAAAGGTGTTATAATGTTACACAGTTCAAAGGTTATGTTCTATTTATTTCCAGAGGGAAAAATGGCAAACAATAAGAAATCAGCAATATTTAAAAGAAGAACCTATGTAAAAGTCTTACAAACTCAAATGACTAAATGAGAGATGGAAAAATTGTAAGAAGACCAACTAATCCAAGAGATATTAACACTTTTAACTAAATAGCTCCTGAATAAATAGCTCCTCTGTTGGCTGGAGATGTTGGCTGGAGAATGGAACCTCAGACATAGTTCTAGAACTTATAGTTATCTTAACTGATCAAAAGATCTAAAATAGTGTCAAATGACAAGTGTGATATATGGAAGAAGCTGCTCCAGAAACCAATTGGAAACAAACAGGGAGAAGAGAAATTCCTAGCTCCTGCATCAATCAGTTTCCTAACACATTTCATGGATAGCCCAAGAAAGAGTTTTGCCATCATTTAATTTAGGGTTGACTAAGGCATAAGTAATTGACAAGTACTGTTTTTGTCAGAAAGTCAACAGAACCCAGAAAAAAAGCACACCTCAGAATTAATGTTCTGCACATGTAACAAGGAGCAGTGCCAAACAAGTTTAATCTTCCACAGACTTTTTTGACTCCACTTGGTTCCTTTAGTCAAATTCAAAAAAAATTATGGCTTGGATCTCCCAACTTTCTAGTATTATCTTGTGATCATATAAGTTTGATGGATTAACAAAAGTATTAGTTCATTTTCTCCACCATAAAAGGATCATTTGCGTCCCACAGGCATCATTTCACTACAAGTATTTTTTTTTTAATTTTCCAAGAACCTTTCCAAGAACCTGGTTGTTGTTTTGATATCTACAGGATTTTTTTCTAGTAATTTTAGAGAAGCTATTCTGAGAATCTCTTCTGAACAACAAGGTACCAATCTCTGTAAAGCCAACTTCTAACTTACCATCTCAGGAGAGCTGCATGCCATGAGACAGCCAGACAAAGCAGCAGTTTTCATTATTTCAAACAAATGATCAGTAGGGATTCCAAGATTGAATGTCAACTGGACCCCACCCGTGAGATCCACGAGAGCTTCTGAGATAAAACCATAGTGCAACTTCTCATAAGAACCTTGCAATCTGGAAAAAAGGGAAGACATCCAGGGTAGGCAGCAAAAGTGAAACAACACAGAATGTTTTTATGTATAAAAATATAAAAGAAAATTGATGGTTAGAGAAGTTCAGGCAAGTTAATGGTACATTTTCTTTCTAGCACCACTAATGTATTCTGTTAAGTCAGACTAGAAATAGAAACACAGCTTTAGACTGAAAGAATATTTCTATTATATTGTCATTTTTGATTTACCTAATAGGCTAGATAATCTTTTTTCTCACTTTGTCAATTAAAAGTCAGTAAATGAATTATACTCTATATTCATTATTAGTTCATTGTTTTAGATTTATTTCATTTCTCAAGTCAACATGAACAGTAAGTCTTTCCTTGATTCTAATTCAACTCCTTTCTTTCTTTTTCTTTCTTTCTCTTTCTCTTTTCCTTCCTTCTTTCCATCCATCACATAAATGAATCAATACACATCCATCCATATTGCCCTGTGCATATCCTAGAAAAGGTTCAATATTTCATATGCAATTAAGAGAAGTGAAGAATGTTTGTAGTCATCATACAATACAGTTACCCAGATAAAAAAAGAGACAGAGCAAATCCACCTTGTGCTGGATTTGCTTTCTAGAGTCATTGTGGAGCACAATATGACAGACTCTCCAAGGTAGCAGGTGTTGCCTTCCACTTTCTATTAATCTGAATGAAGAGTGACCTCAAAGTTTCAGATGGTACAATAATATTATGGTTCCATGTTTTGAATTGGTTAAGAACAAGGAGTCTTATTTGATCATCCCTCTAGCCCAGAAGATAGTGGGTTCCAATAGGTTGGAAACTTTCCCAATCTTCCAGGAAGAAGTGCAAACTCAAAAGTGAAGCTGGGTTGAGATGATACATAAAGATGAGCTTCAGAAAAAGTCTTCTACAAGAAAAAGTTGTAGAAAGATTTGCTTCTGATCTGTATTTGTCAGATTCTCAAAATATCTCTAAATACTTCAAAAAAAACAACAACCTTCCGTTTTCTTTTCTTACAAATCTTTGTCCCCAGATAAGCCTTTATATATTGTTTAATGCTGCATGCAATAATTACATAATGCACCACATCCTGAAAGATAAAATAACACCCTTGGTTACAGCCTGAAGTTAAAAATATTTTCTCTGTTGGAAGGAGATCTGCCACAGATAAGTAAACAGGAAAATTAGAATAAAATTAAGCACAGCCTAGGCATTTATTTTTTGCTCCATTTTTATTTACTTTCCATCATTGAATGTTCATCAGATAGTGGCATACCAAATACCAAAAAGCATGTTTCAAGTTTTTATTTTATTTTATTTTATTTTAGTTTGTATTTATTAATGCAAAAGAAAAAAGAGGAACCAGAGTTTATAACAATAGTAGCATATGCCATTTAATAAAAGTAAGTACACAATCGTAGCTTCACCTTGAATTTAAACAAAATGGTTTAACTTATTTAAAACTAATGTTCCCAACCTAGCATTTTCCTTTTATTTCTACTATAATGTTTTTCTTTTCTTGTATTTTTTGCTTTCCCTTTGCTTTCTTTCTACATCTTTTCTTCTTTGTATTAGTGTGTATTAGTTTTTATTTTCTTTTTAAAAATCTTTGTGGCATTTCCCATATTTATTATTGAACAATTTTTCAACCTTGGTAATCATTCATTATATACCATCTGTATAAGATTTTGTTCCAATTTGCTTTCAAACTGTAGCTTGGAGTAAACCTCATGATTTTTTCCCCATAGTTTTTCCTATTGTCCCACTGTTATTACTTCTTTAAAAGCTTTACATTCACTTGATCACACAATTCTTACTTTGTTCTATCTCTGTGTCATATTTTCAATAACAATTTTAAATATGTTCTAACACTATCTTAATTCTTTATAAGTATTTTCAATTCTGACATCTTTGAGCTGTGTTCAACTTCAGGGTTTATTCACCATTGTTTACACAACAGATTTCCTGATGTTTCACAGGCAACCATGGTTTGCATCTTCAGAGGCAACTGAGCAGGCTCCTATCTTTATAGCTAAGTGACCTGACTTTGGATTGGTCTTAAAGATTGCTCAATCACATCAGCAATAACACTGTTGAAAAAGCACTGTGCAATCTAAAACCATCTCTATCTATTGGACCGGATGGAATATGTGCCTACTTCTTAAAAAAGCTATCCACTGCCATAGCCGAACTGTGGGATCTATGATTCTTTGTTCTTTGTGTACGTGCTAGGACAACGGAGCCTTGCGGAGGTTGGCTGGAACATGGAGCAAGGAACAAGGACAAATTGTTGCCATTTCTAAACCAGAACTGTAACAAGCTTAAACTTTGCAGCCTTGTACGCTTTATGCGAATAATCAGTGCATGTTGTGTGGTGTAATGCGTTCGTGATAGGACGTCAACAAAAATTGCTTCTAATAAAAGAGGGTTTCGGAGTTCGCTCTGGGCTCTCATCCCCTTGCATTGTGTCTTCTTTCCATGAGAGACCACCACACCGAACCTCGAAGCATAATCTTTGAAAAATCTTTCAAGACCAGCTCCTTACCAAAACTATGGTCACAAGCCACAGTCATCCCCACCTTCAAAAAGGGAGACCCCAGCCTAGTTGAAAATTACAGACCAATCTCTTTATGTTGCATCACCTGTAAAGTCATGGAATCAATTATTAACCAATCCATCATCCTCCACTTAGAGACAAACAACCTACTCTCTAATAAACAATTTCATTTTAGGAAAAAAACTATCATGTAATCTGCAACTCTTACACTGCAAAAACATATGGACTACACAACTCGATCAGGGCAAAGAATAGACGCAATCTACATAGAATTCTGTAAAGCCTTTGATTCAGTGGTACATGACAAACTACTCCTAAAACTAAAATCTTATGGTATCTCCGGACAACTGCATAACTGGATAGATGCATTCCTGTCAAACAGATAACAAATGGTCAAAATTGGGAGCGTCCTATCAAATTCTGTACCTGTCAACAGTGGTGTCCCCCAAGGCAGTGTTCTAGGACCAACTCTTTTCATACTCTACATAAATGACCTCTGTGATCATATCAAGAGCAACTGCATTCTCTTCGCTGATGATGTAAAGCTATTCAACACCACAGACAATACTGCTACCCTTCAAAAAGTCCTTGACTCTGTATCAGAATGGTCAAACAAATGGCAACTTCAAATCTCAACAAATAAATTCTCTGTCCTACATATTGGCAAAAAAAATCAGAAAATAAAATACAGGCTGAATAGTCAAGACCTTATTGATGATCCAAACTCTGTCAAGGATCTTGGAATACTCATCTCTAATGATCTAAGTGCTAGAGCCCACTGTAACTACATAGCCAAAAAGGCGTTAAGAGTTGTTAACCTAATCTTATGTAGCTTTTTCTCTGATAATATTACACTAATAACTAGAGCATACAAAACATTTGCTAGACCAATACTCAAATACAGCTCATCAGTCTGGAACCCACATTATGTATCTGATATTAACACAGTTCAGAAAGTCCAGAAATATTTCACAAGAAGAGTTCTCCACTCCTTTACTCGTTGCAGAATACCTTATGGCACCAGACTCAAAATTCTAGAACTAGAAAATCTAGAACTACGCCGCCTTCAGTCCGATCTAAGTATAGTATATAAAATCATGCATTGTAATGACTTACCTGTCAATGAATACTTCAACTTCAACCATAACAACACAACAGCAAACAATAGATACAAACTCAAAGTTAATCGCACCAAACTTGATTGCAGGAAATACAACTTCAGCAACAGAGTGGTCAATGTCTGAAATACTCTACCTGATTCTGTGGTTTCTTTCCCAAACCCCAAAAACTTTAATCTTAGACTGCCTACTATTGACCTCACCCCTTTCCTAAGAGGTCTGTAGGGGGCATGCATAAGCGTCCCAACGTGCCTAACGTCCTATTGTTTCTTTTAATTTTTTTATGTTTCTTATATGTATCCATATATTAATAACTATGTTTTTACTTATACCTATTATCTTGTAAGCAATTGACAAATAAAAATAAATAAATAAAATAAAACTCACTAATCTTGTGTGAGACTAACAAGGCTGGGGCCATTTCCAGTGGGATGCTGTTGCACAGGGCAAGCACTGCCAACCAAAAAGACAAGACTCTGGGAACCAGCTGTATGACAGAAAGGATTCAGAGCATACCATCTCTGCTAGATTTGAATTGAATTTTGCAAGCAAAATTTTACAAGCAAAGTCAATGGGGAAGCCAAATTTACTTAATAACCATGTTACTAACTTAACAACTACAGTGATTCACTTAACAACTGTGGCAAGAAAGGTTGTAAAATGGGGCAAAACTCACTTAACTATATCATTTAGCAACAGAAATTTGGGGCTCAACTGTGGTTGTAAGTGAAGGATTACCTGTAATTATATGAGACCTTAATGTTAAAATTTATTAATATTGTACTGTTACTTTTTCAAGGACAAGTACAGGTAGTCCTCATGTAAACTCATAAAACATTTTGTATACACATTTTATAGTTGACAACAGAAAGAAGGGGGGGGAGTTTCAAAGAGCAGGAAACAGTGTGGAATCGAAAGTACATTCCATTCATATTTTCTTCAAAGGCTGATTAGATGGCTGAAGCTTCTGCCTCGAAAAAATCTAATTGGAGAGCATGATTGATGACTCTTGGCTATGGATGTTTTTCGTTGGATGGTATCAGAGGGGTGGGGTGGGGGAAACAGGATCAAGGGTGACAGTGAATTACATATTTCAGAGTTGGCTACACCCAGGTTAGTACCGGATGTAGAATGTTAACTTCAAATAAATCCTCTTTAGTTTTGGGAGTGGGGCTCGAGGCTCATGATTTAATTGGAGTAACTGCCAGAATCCTGACACCTCGACTTATAACTGTTCATTTAATGACTGTTCAAATTTACAAATGCACTTTAAAAAGTTACTTACAACCGTTTTTCACACTTACAACCATTGCAGCACTTTCATACAGAATCTGTTAAAGATATCTATACATTGAAACCCGGGTAGGCAATTGAAGTAGTAAATGACTGTGAACAAAGACATATCTATTTATCTTTTGAATAAGAATTGTCTCTTGGCACTATGCTTGTTACAATACAAATTATGGAATTACTGTCTGAATCCTGGCTAAGCAGACTACAGTGGTGAGACATGTAAGCAAAACTTGAAACAGAAGCAGCTTTTGGAAATATTTACTTGGCATAAGCTTTCTCAAGCAGAGATGGCCAGAATTCATTCTTGCTCCTGGGATGAACTGATAAGTAATTTCCATCAATGAAAGGCAGTCGGTCGTCTATCACCACATCAACCCAACTTCCAAAATACCAGAACTACAAAACAAAAGAAAGAAATGTAATTTTAGATAAACAGTTTTTTAATGATAGCACATCATAAAATGAATTTTTAAAATAATTATTACTATTCTTTCCTATCTTTTGGAGATCAAAGGGGTGCTCATGGAAGTGTCCTTTCAGTATGAATTCACAAGAACCTTTTGAGTTAGACCCGATTGAGAGAAAATGTGTGTTTTAAAATTAACAGAGAGTTTCCTGATTGAGTGGAGACTTTGAAAAAATGGTGTATATGCAAAATGAAAGAAAGACCATAAAGAGACAGAGAGAAAAAGAAGTACCCTCCTCTAAATCTATACATGTCTCTTAATGAAACAAAGTTAATTTTACATGTTATCCATATCTAATTATACAATTGAATTAATAACATTGAAGTCTGTCTATTTGGAAACAAATTAAACTACATATAAAGTACTTTTCTTACCTTTAATTGGTAAAATAAATTTGGAAGGAAATTGCTGGAATATAAGGAAATAAGTTCTTCAGACCATTACATAACTTTTTGAGAATAATTACCCTTCAAATTTGTATCATTTAATGTTACACTGTACAAGAACACTGCATCCATTGCAACTGTCTTTCTATTAATTTCCAAATTACTGGAAAATAATAATAATCATCTACAACCAATGAATTTTCCAAAAACAAAATTAATGTTTTCAGTGAATCGAGGCTTTTATTTGGATTTCCCCAGTCTAACATCTTAACCAGCAGTCTAGCTTTAGCAAGTATCTAGAGCAATTTTCCACAGCCAGGTAGGAAATACTAACCTTGGCCCTGGATAATTTCATAGATTAATAAGCTATTATAATAAGAACCTTGTGGTATTAGACTACAAATTAGTCTTCTGTTTTTAACAACAAACATCCAGGTGTTGTAAGGACACTAACAATGACAACATAAAATCATTCTATGTTGATTCTGTTTTTACATGCTCCAGCAAGAAATATTCAAAGATATATTGCATCTGAATCTGTAGATAGTTATGATCATAACTGTATCTGTCTAATCCCATTTTAAAGTTCCTATATTTAACTCCACACTTATGACAGCCAATTATATAAGGTAATTACACTGTGACTAATGAACTGGGGTGTTTTAATCTATCTTGAATCAAATAGAATTGGTTTCACTGGGTGACCCAGACTCTAGAACTCTACACTAGTCAAAGTATTCTCTTTCCCTTCTTTTCTTCACAACAAAGAAAAAGAGAAAAAAATTCCCACCTTGGAACTAACTTTGTCTTTTCTTTAAATCAGGAGTGTCCAACCTTGGCAACTTTAAGACTTGTGGACTTCAACTCCCAGAATTCCTCAGCCAGGAATTCTGAGGAATTCTGGGAGTTGAAGTCCACAAGTCTTAAAGTTGCCAAGGTTGGACACCCCTGCTTTAAATCATCATTAACAACAACAAAAGAACTTTTTCTTCTTTTTACAGAGTGAATTTTTGTGTTTTTCTGCTCCATCTGTATTATTTTTCAATAACCATACTGAAAAATTAAACTCTATTTAAACTCTAATAAAACTCTATATGTAATACAAAATAGGAAGATTGAATACTGGAGGATAGTTATCTAAGACTCCTGCATCTTAGGATGGTCTTGTCAGAAGGGCATACACCCCTTTCTCAAACAACTTCCTTTCAGAAAGCAGTAAAACACTTATTTAAATATAAAAATAGAGTGATATTGTATAGTAGAATGATGTATATGTGTATTTATTGTAGAATTATTGTGTCACTCATAGATTAAAACAGTCCAAGAGATAAACTGCTTCTCAAACAGCCTAGCTAACAAAGATAGTATGTGAAATTAATATCCCTAAAAAAATAAAACCTTCATTCTCCACAAGCATATTTTCAACAACTATTGATTAAGCATGAGTTGCTTGGTTCTTTTTGCCAAATAATACAATGGACTGTGTCTACCATGAAATTCAATAGTTAAAAATTATTATTTTACCTATGAAAGAAAGGGATTCTACTAGCCACTTAAGCAGCTGGAGGGCACAGGTGTTCATCTATCAAATACAGGTGATGAATTGTTTCAAGAAAGGAGTAAAGAAAGCCTTCACTATGGACAAACCAAAGAATCCATTTCTGCCATCATTAGCAGCCTAATGGAGTGTGTCATGACTTTGTTAGCTCTATGGGACAAATCTCCATAGCTGTAAAACAAAGACATAAACTGAAGTATTTGGGATCAATTTCAACATTGAATGGTAGCTTAGATGGGGGAATTTGAAAGGAGAACAGAATAAAGCCCTTGAAAGGTCACATCTTTGGGAGGTCATTAAGAAACGTGAAGGGGATGATCGTGCCATACTGTCATTTAATAAATAATAATCAAGTTAAAAATAGACCTGAAGGTTTTATGTGAATCTGGAATTGAAAGTGCTATGTATGAAAGCAAATAATGTTCAGTGCATGGTTCGACATTGAATAAGGTTTAAATCAAGGAAATGGGATGTATTTATGAATCAATGTATGGAGAAGGCTTGTGATGATATTAGAGGAGTTTCAGTTGGGGGTGTGACTGCATGTGTACTTTTGTGTGCAGTTGATGTGTGTTGTTGATTAAGAATACAAATTATTTGTAACAAACTTTAGCTGGCATAATGGTCTGAAAATTAGATTATTGAAAAACAAGGTAATTGCCTTTGATGGGGAAATAGAGCAATTTGCTGCAAGTTATACAATATTTAATAAAGATTAGAAAATGGAGAACTTTTTAAGAATACAAATGCTGGTAGAAAAGTAATATAGCTATGTACTGAGATAGCAAGGAACACTTTTTGTTGTTACTATTGAAAGAAGAGAAAATACTTATGTGTACTGATGTGCTTCTGTCCAATTTGTTTTATGAGAGTGCAAGTTTAAGTAGTTAGGAAAAAACATAATTTGGTTTGAATTATGAAGTTGAATGCGGTAGGAATGGAGTACTTAAGTAGTGTGTGATAAAAGAAGAAGTGATGTGTTCAAGAATGGATGGATGCTAAGTGAATATAGGCAAGTGAACTATCACTATGTAAGAAATGTGTTAAGATGCTTTGGAGAGAATGAATGAGGAGTGAATTGTAAAACAAATTTATGAAGAGTGAATGGATTGAGAGATAATGAATACCTAGAAAGTTATGGGTTGGAAGGAATTGATGAGATCCTGAAAAAGAGAATCATGAGAAGCTTAAAAAATAAAAGGCAAAATATAAATGGTGGAGACAGTGGAATCAAGGATGGTTTAAATGGATAAATAAGTATCAGGGTATAATAAATAGGGTTGGCATAGTTTTAGCTACTATATTTTACTTCTTTTGTCTTATCTCATGCTTTTTAATTCCTTTGGTTAGTGTTTCTTGCATCTTATGTGCACTTGGCATAACATTACTTACCCTGAAAGAAAATAGTGTCTCGGGTATGCATGTAACAAAGGTAGATAAGTAGATCTCTTTATTTCTTTTTTAAAAAAAGAACATTCTTCGCAAAGTTGCACCAAAACTAATTAGCAAGTTATGTCATGTTACCTGCAACTTTGAAGAGATAATATAAAAATATTACAGACACAACCTTTTGATTTAGAGGGGAAAGGTCAGGGGTTGCTTTTCTTTGCTTCAGTTTGATCTTGCAGGAAGAAATATAGATCGAGGTGTATTGAGCTGCTGATAAGGGGGCAGTGAAAAATGGTTTCAAATCACATTTATAGATTCTGCTTCTTAATAAGAATAGGTTGCTTCCAACGAAGTGCCAGTCATGAAGCACTTCCTAGCAGAGTATTTTGTATCTATAGTGGAATCAGCATTACAAAGCAAGCCATATAGAATATTCAGAACTAAATATAATATGTGGAATTGATTATTGTGGAGAATCTGACATGACTTATTCTATTGCACGCCGAATAGTATTTATATACTACAGTGGCTTAAAATGGTTGCTGTGAATGCTTTAGCTGTTCTGAAAAAAAACCTCATTTGATATAAGTATGCAACTTAACATTTTTCTGTATGCATCTTTTTATGATTTTAATTAATATGCTGATTAATGTGCTTATTTTGTTATAATACTTACATTTAAAGATCTTTTGATTTTTAATACTGCTAACAAGAAATACATGGTGTCATCCAAGCTCTAGGTTTTAAAATAGTTGAAAAAGGCACTGCAACATTTTTCATCACCAACCTGAAAATGAAAGATCCCTGCATAAGTGTGATTAAATCCTTGGTCTGTAGGAATCATATTTTTCAGGAACCGTTGTTGTTGGGTCAAAGCACCCAGAGCTGCTAAAACCCAACAGTTACCTTAAAGAAAGGAATGATAAATTACAAAAGTTCTCATACTCAACTTCCTCTCTAAAATTCACAAGAACTTGACTATTAACCCAACTGATAGGCCACGAGTCTTCAGGTTTGTAGAATATTGATTTTTCCAACATGTCTGAAACATGCTGTGAAATCATGCAGGATTCATTCATTCTCTCCTTACAAAGCATATGCTCTCCACTGTGATATGGTTCTTTTCTTTAGCTCATTAAAAAATTCCTGATATTTGCCCAATTCTAATGATTAGGTATTATTTATTGAATGGGATTTCCCAAAAAAAGTTTATCTCTGGTTTGGAAGTATTGGTATGGTGAGACCATGAGCCCCAACCCCACTAATTCTGTAGGCCCTTGAATAAAATATTTCTTGTATTTATTCCTTTTATTCTTACTGAAACAATTCTTAATTATACTGCAATTATTTTGTAAATTAATACATTTTAAGTTTTTAACTGATATCCTTGTATTCTCGATTGGACATCTATAAGTTGTTGTGGAATATGTTGTGGTTACCATTTAGAGTAAGTACAGTATCTTGTCTAATAAAAGTCATATCTGAGTCAATCCTTCCAAATTATTATTTTTTTCAAATATTTTATCACATGATATAGTTGCATATTGATGTATTTTCCCCAGATATGTGTTTTAAGGGGACAGGAAAAGTATAATTTTCAACACACACACACACACACACACACCTGCTTTTGAAAATAATTCAGAAAATGAATGAAATCACCTCTGCTATTCTTCAGTTATGCTTAAAGGTTTAGGTGCTAGTGATGTTGACATTATAAAAATAATAATTCCTGCTATATTCTGCTTATTTTCTAGTTTGGCCCTTAAAAAAGAGCAGCCCTGCTGATATTTTTGCCTGAAAATTTGAGGGAAATTTTCAGAATGTGCACCTGCCACAAGAGGGTTTGAGGGGAGCTGTCAATATCTAGCTTCCTAACTTTCTAGAAGTAGAATATGCGTGGGGTGAGGTGTGTGTGTGTGTGTGTGTGTGTGTAGGGAGGCACTTTGAATTCTCATTTCATTTTTTTCCAGGATCCACACTGTTGTTCATTCCACCTTTTTTGTTTGCCACACATTTTTTTTTCTTTTCCACTTCAGCTGCTAATATGCCTTGCATATCTGGGTCATCTTTCATGAAGACAATTTTCTTGTTTCCCTTGCTGTTGTTTGCTTTTCATTTACTCTATCCTTGGTCCGCTGGAAGAAGGGTGTCATTTATCACTCTGAGCACATGATCTCTTCATTTTTGTTGAAGGCATTATTGCTTTAGCCTGCCATTTGCCACTTGAAATGCTTTTAGTTTGAAACAGATGTGCTGTATCAAATACATTTAGATGCATAATGTACTATATATGCATTATATATTATTATATATGACATAATAATGTTAAGATACCAGGTAGTTTTCTAATGTGAGGATCTAATTGTATAACTAGAGAATACTGAGGGTTCCAGAGCCTCCTTCCTTGATTGGAGAAAGGCTTGTGTCTTAGGAAACCAGACAGCCCAAGAATAACTGAATGTTTGTTATATCCTTATCATGTATATTCTCCAATGAACTATGAAATGGTTGTTTTGTTTCCCCAATGTACAGATCTGCACATGGCTCATTGCATTGTACTGCACATACCACATTGCTCAGTTTCTGTTTTATCCTTGGAATGGACAAGCTTCTGCCTTAGTGTATTCTTGGGTTTGAAGTGTGCATGTATGTTGTGTTTCTGTATGTTCTCTCTCTCAGGCTCATTACTATATTGTGGTAACGTTATTCCCTTATCCCAATCCACAGCTGTCATCTCTTCCCAAGCCTGTTCTTAACACTTTTTCTTTCACCCATATCCTATTCATTTTTTTCTTCACTTGTCATTTGCTTTGCTTCTTTGAACTGTCTTGCTTTATCAGCCAAACCATCTTTCTTCTCTTTAAACCTCTCCTAATCAAACCTTAATTTTCTTTTTTTCCAAAACACATCCGTCACACATCATCAGTTTTCTATTTGGAACTATGCTTTCTCTGCTACCAGTTAATACTCCATCAGCTTTTCTTTTCACTTATCAAACTCTAGCACCTGTTTTCTGCTGTTTTGTATTTATTACAAAGCTGATGGATGAAATTCACAGCATAAAATTAAATATATGCTTAAATCTCCCTCCAAAATCAGTAGGCTTCAAACAGCTTAACTTTGGTGAGATTGCTTCCTGGACCCAAACTCTGTTCTCTTCCACTTAACACCATGTCAGGCAATACTCAATACAGTCCTGTTCAAAAGACAGGGTGAGTATCAAAACATAAGTACAGTAGGCTAGAAGAGAACCATAAAATAAAATAAAACAAGTGGGGAAAGTGAATAGAGATTTTTTCCATTATCTCAAAATGATAGAATACAGGTTTTTTTATGAACCTGAAGAGGGGGTTAGGGGTAGGGGAAGGAGCACCTTCTACAATGCAAAGTGAAATTATAGAACAGGAGTGTCAAACTCGCTGCCTGTGGGCTGGTTGCGTCATGCACTGGCCATGTCCACCCCCTAGCTTAGTGAAAGGGAAAATGTTGCAATATGTCACATGATGACAATATGACGCCATGAGTTTGATCCCCCTGTTATAGAATATGCTGTGATAACATATGGTATATAACTCTCAGTCTGGATTATACAAATTAATAGAGATTATCAATATCTTTTATTCATCATGGTTACATCCTATGCTCATTATCAAAGATATTATACCTCTTAATACAAATTTCTGGAAGCCACAAATTGCCAGTTGTAAGCAATTAGATCAACGTGTGAAAGGGTCAAGTTGGCTACTTTATTGTATTCTACCTAGAGTACAAGAATCTACTCAGATGGTTTGCCCTCACTTGGCAACAAACAGATAAAGTTTCATGGAATGGGAGTGGGGGGTGGGGTCAGTCCTAGGTCTCTTGCAGTTGTGCAATAACTCAAGGCTAAGTCCCCATTTGATTCCTCCTCCTTGCCTGGCTGGATTCTTGTGTGGTGCTATTGTTTTATGTCCTATTTCTCTTAGGCATAGCTTTGACTATTATGAGAACATTTTATGCATACACAAGATCCACTGAAAACCTTTAAAGGAGAAGTAGAACCAGGCAGCCAGGGATATTTCCAAACTCATACTCTTATTACTTAAATATTCAATTCCTTACCTATTTTTTGTCCTTGAAGAATATCAAATCGGCTTATTCCATCCACAAATAAATGTGGGTTTCTGACCAGTTCCTTCAATGGAAAGTGATAAACAATATTTATTCATTCTTGATTAATGAATTATTCAATCAATTATTATTACCAGTAGCAGTAATTTCAATAATTATTTATCCTAGCTACTGCCAGCACTTCTATATAAATGAAAAAAAGAGAAGTCCTGTGCATTTGGAAACTATGGCTGCAAGTGAGATGTATACACCAAAGAAATACTTTAGAAGAGGTGTGTTTCTTGCTACAAAAATTTCCAACTTCTTCTACCAATATGTAGTCCTGTTTAATGAATTATACTAGAAGAGAGAGATTTAGAATGTACTTCATTGCATTTGAAGATATTGCATTGCATCAAAAATGGAGCACTCAGTGTACTTTAGCTTTTAGCATCTTTGTTTACTAGACTTGAAAGAAACTGCTGGAGCTATCCAGCTGAGCCTTGTTACCTACCGCAAGAAATTATTTATCTAGACATCCGTTGTTAGTCTCATTCCTTTTTATTTCTTTAAATAAAAAACCAGATATCTGCAAAAACCTCAGTGATTACTCTTTCACATCTTTCTCAGTCAATTTAATTAGCTGTCAGGGACTCCTCAAGGGTAGTATTCCCACCCACCACCCACCCTCCTTGGAAAGCCACATAGGTTTATATTGCTCTAACTTAAAAGAAAGATCTGAGTTGTCAGAATCAGGTCTGCTTAGATGTCTGAGGTGAGGTCCTGCTCAGCCATCTGGAAAGTATTTGAGCCTGTGAATCACAGGGGAATAATAGTATAGGCAGACAGTGTGAGTGTTTGCATATTAGATCAATGCCTCTTTTTTGGATGTTTTGGGGAAGGCAACATGTGGTTGGGTCCACTCCAAGCAATGGTAAATTCATTCTTTAATGAGGTTCCATCTGTTCTGAAACAAAGTTTATTGATAAGACTCCTTATCAATAAACATTATGTACCCAATAGTGTTAGATAATTTACAATTAATCCTCACCCTTTTCTTTTGGGATAAGTTTGTGTAGCTGATGGTGGTGCCTGGTGGGAATAGCTTATCTGGATGTTTTCAGTCAGGTTTCAACCCTGCATGTAGTACTGAGGATGCCATTGATTATGCTAGTGGATATCTGGCTTGTGACTGGTTCTCCTGGTTCTTCTTGATCCCTTAGCAACTATCAATGCCATCTGTCATTGTAATTTTTGTACTGTGTGTGAATGCTAGTATGGTTCTCCTCCATTCTCTGTGGTCAGTTTTAGTCAGTATTAATAAAGAGGAGAAAATGCACCTTAGGATCTTTTTTTATGGGGTTCTTCAGTGATCAACACTTTTATTTCTTCTGTTTAGCCTCTAAATTAGGCCATTGAATAAGAGAATCTGACAGCATGGGGCCAGATATCATTAGTTACTAAGGGATCAAGAAGGATCAGGAGAACCAGGTCACAAGCCAGATATCCACTAGCATCATCAATGGCCTCCTCCGTACTACATGCAGAGTTGAAACCTGACTGAAAAGGTCCAGATAAGCTATTCCCACCAGGCACCACCATCAGCTCCACAAACTTATGCACAATATACATAATTGTATATCTCAACTCCATGCCAACTGAGTGATTGAGCTGCTGTCTCATTGTCTGGAGTTAGGTAAAGTTTGTATGGGGAAGAACAGGTTTAGATTCAACCCTAGCAAGACTGAGTAACTATCAATTTAATATGTCTATGGAGATTCTCAGTCATCCAGGTCATGGCTATCCCAGAGATTCTTTTTCAAAAGTCAGCTGAACTTTCTGGTTTTTCTGTGAAGATATTTTGGATGAGCTTCTTGGATGAGAAGCGAAACAACTTCAAAGAAAAACCAGAAAGTCAGTTGCTTTTAAAAAAAGCACTTTTGTGATATCAATAATCCTCTGTTTCAGGTTATTAGTTTTTGCTTTAATTTTTGATATGGGAACAATTCTAAACCCATAGAGAATATTCATAATAACTATATTTAATTAATGAAGTAGAGATATAAATATGCATGTTTAAAAACATTTTCCCCTTGTTCCATCCAATGTTTGTGCTGGTCCTACTTCTTTTCTGGACTGCAACCCAGAAAAACATATCCTTCAACGCATAAAGCTATTTACCTCCAAGCATGAATTCATCCTCTCCATCGCTATCAATCAATAGAATTAGGAAGCTGGACTCCTAACTATTCAATTCTATTTCTCTTTTGTTGTATGTAATAAAATTTGATGGGTTTTTTTAAAATGAGCATTACTGGGCTTTTTGGGCTACCAACTCAACATCTCAAAGTAAAAAAAAAAAAAAAGCATTCTCTCAGCTCAAGAAGAAGTGGAGCAACATTTCCTGACTGTGACTCCTTCATTAAAGTCATGTCACTACTTATTTATCTGAATAAATTCCGTTCGGATTTTGAATTGTAATTGATGGCTGAGAAGAAGCAGCAACAGCCTGTGATGTTAGTATTTGCACCCATTCAGTTTCTCCATCAGGAGAACTTTTCAAAAAGGGGATGATTCATTACCCTGAGGTCAGTTTTATTTTCTCAGGGCAGAATTCAGTCTCCTTTAGAAAACTTGTCAGAAAATCCCTGACAATCCCTGTGATTTTATTAACTTTTTCTATGGTGGGTAGTACATGAAGCTTTATTTTCCTAGATTGTGCTACTGTAGTAGGCTGTAAAAGGAAGAGAGAAGGAGAAAGATTTAGACATTTAAGAAAGCTGAAGTAAGTTGTTATGGATAGTGCTCATGAAAAATACTTTTGTGTAAGATATTGTGAAAGAGACATAATATCTTCCCTTTCTCTGACAATCCATTATCCATAAATTATTGCAAAAGAAGAAAAATATCATACACTTTTCATTCATTTTTTTTTCTCTTTTTGTGGCCACTCATTTCAAAAATGCAACTCAGGCCAGCTTTTACACGTTAAAACACTTTTAAAACCAATATTAATACACACTTTTAAAAAAACAACACTCTATTGTTGCTTAAAAACAAAAGCTATTGCAAAAGAAGAAAAATTCCACCCACTTTATTGATATATTTATTAATTCTTTTTATTTTTATGGCACTCATCTTACAAATACAACTCAGGGCAGCTTACAACATGTTAAAGCCCAATATTAATAGACATTTTTTAAAAGAACAATGAAAGATAAATCCAAATGAAACAGTTAACAGAAACCTATCAACTTATCTAAACTTCTGATCCTCAGACTGAAGCCCAGTCATGAAAGTTCAGAACAGACAAATGAAACATATGAATAGTTGAGGTTCAAAGAGGGAAGCTAATTGATGGAAGATTTTGATAGCAGATACAGTGCATCATAGGGAGGTTACTCTGATTAAGGGGCAAGGCCACTGAAAATGTTTCTAAAAATAGATGAAATAAAAATCAATAATACTATTTTGATTAATTTACCTAGAAGATTATTATATTTTAACACACATTTATCCAGCATTTTATGTGATTTTCAGGTTTAAAATAAATTAAGAGTTAATTTAGCTGGCATAAAATCCAGATAGTTTACTGTTAACATCTTCCAATCAAGGTGCCAGCATTGGCAAAAAGATTAGCAACCCCTGTCTCTCTTTCACTCCTATGTTTCCAAATTCTTTAAATGACCAGAGGCCCAGAAGAGACTAACATGAAAGGAAAGAATTCTTAAGCATCCATTGCTACTAAAAAGGAAACAGTCTAATTCTCTCTACCCTTTGGCCACTCTGCTTGGGGATTCTAGGAGTTATAATTCAACTCCTGGTCTTAAATCAGTAGCAATCACTGCATGGATTGAAATTTATTTAGCCATGCCATGAGGATGTTTAAAAGGTGAAATGAATTGTGCATACATATCAAAGATGTCTCAGCAAGGCGGAGCAGCTGGGTGGTCTTGTAAGGAAGCCGAGCAAGGTTGGGCCAAGTAAATTCTTGAATGGTAAATGATCAGAGAATATCAGAACTATAGGCTAGATGGGAAATTGAAAAACCATCTTGGAAGAAGCCCTGGTAAACCACTTCCATATTGTGGCTAAGAAAACTGCACAATTATCAGGAAATCAGCTTGATTCAAGGGCATCTTCTTTTATTCTCATCAGTAAATTAACTATTTGGTCAGTGTTAATTCCTATCCATAGTTATTAAAGTGTAAAAATAACAAACGACCAGATTTTTGCCTATTGGATGGAAGTTTAAACTAGTATCAAATGTCTACATCAAGATATTCTAGATTTTTAAAAGATAGTACTTTTAATTTTAAGCATAACATACAGGATTGTGTGGTTTTGATTATGGGCAAATCAATGACATAATATGTGTCTGCCACAGTGGAGAATTTCTGTAGCTCAAGGCTGAGTTGTTCAGTTCTTGATGTTCTTTGAGCTTGTGTCTCTTCCTGGAGACATTTCATTAGCAGGCTAGGTAACATCATCAGTGTGTGGAGGAATGGAGTTTTCTGGCTGTTTAGTTTGGTAGCTTGTCTTACCAGCCATGACCGGGGCATTGTTTCTTCCAGTGGTGGGATTCAAATTTTTTTACTACTGGTTCTGTAGGCGTGGCTTGGTGAGTGTGGCAGGGGAAGGATACTGTAAAATCTCCAGTCAGAGGTGGTATTTGCCAGTTCTCTGAAGTACTCAAAATTTCCGCTACTGGTTTTCCAGAACTGGTCAGAACCTGCTGAATACCACCTCTGGCTTCATTGCTTTTGTGGTGGAATATTGTCTATTTTTCTTATTCTTGTTTCTCTAGCGTAATGAGGGAAGATCTATTTAAATCTATTTGCTTCTTTTCCACCTTAGATTGATTCCTTTCTTGAACAGTTTATGCATAGTTGTTATCTCATTGTGACCATTTATGCCTGATTCATCAGAGTGCCATGACCATGCCTCTGGGAGTTCTCCTGCATTTTAGTGGTTTCCATTTCTATTGGAAAGAAAGCAACCAAAGTTCAAGGAAAGAAACAAAAGACCCAAACACCTCCTTTCTCATCACACACCTATTAACTAATAGAAAGGTCACCAGAAATTCCAATCAAGGCTGGTAAAACAAGTTATCTCACACACACCATAAAACCCCAGCTCTACTTGTCTGTGCTTCCTGTCGATAGGAAAAGAAGTCAACTCAGAGAACTACAAGAACCTCACAATACATATTTACTATGAGTACATCCCAATGAATTTCTGAATTCTTCTTTTGGAAGAAATGGAACAAATGATTATGGTTTTTGTAAGAAATTTAATTTTAAACCAACTTACTTTGTCAAATAGCAGCCCCTGCAAACTGGCCAAGCTCTTTCAAAAGGCAACGACTTTTTGTTTTTTCTTTGAAGATGTTTCATTTCTCATCCATGTGAAAAAGCACATTTAGGTCAACCATGACCTGAATGACTGACAATTTCCATAGACGGGGGAGGGGGGGGGAAATTCAAATTTTTTAACAACCAGTTCTGTGGGCATGTCTAGGTGGATGCAGTAGATGGGCATGGCCATGTGACTGGGTGGGCATGGCTTCTTTTTTTGCAGCACCTCCCCATTTTTTGCCTCCTGGGCCGCAAGGAAGCCTCCTGGGGGGCGTTTTTGCTCCTAAGAAGTTTTCCTGGGGCCCAGGAAGGCAAAAAGCAGAGTGTGGGGAGGCAGAACCCCCTCTGTGTGCCCCTTTTTGCCTCCTGGGCCTCAGAGAAGCCTCCTGGGCAAAGCAGTAAGACAGCAAGAAGAATCCCGGCACAGCTGATCATCAGAACAGCTGACCATCGGGAGGGAGGAAAAAAAGAAATACCTTAAGGAATGATTGGGTGGGGGACAATGCAGTCAGTGATGTCAGGCATGCGTGCGATGTCGTGCATGCACGATAAGGACTGACTGGACAGGGAGGGGAGGCATGGGTGGAAGGGGTGGGCCAGCCAGGGGCACGATTTGCCAGTTCTCCGAACTGTGCAGAATCCTAACAACTGGTTCTATAGAACCAGTCCGAACCAGTAGAATCCCACCCCTGTCATAGACATATGACTGAGCTCATAAGTAAAGCAGATTTGGCCTTGGCTGGGAACCATGAAGAAATTCCAAGGCATTTGGCTACTTGGCAACATTGCAAAACATCCTGGGAGAAAGCTGTGCCACACCTATTTCAAGAAAAATAGGTGGAATACAGTCACTGCCTCAATGTGAGGTTAATAATATCTTTTTAAGCACAATAAAGCCCAACACTTTATCTTACATCTATGACTAAAGGGTGGGGAACTCAGGCTGTGTCAGGAATGATAGTTCTGTGTTCCAATCCTGCTCCCTTTGGGGATTCCTGTTGTTAAATTGGCTCACTTTACAAATCAAAACATGCTGCTCCAAGCTGTCAGCACTGCCTGGCATCTGCAAATCAAACTGTGTTCTTTCTCCTTTGTGCTCCAAAGATTCCAGGCTTGAATGTAATTGGCAATTCTCTTGTCAATGCATGAGATAAAACTGAAACCTGCTTTACTTCTCAGCTGCCACATTGGATCTGGAAGGGTGACAGTATTAAAAAAAAATGTTATCTGTCACTTAAATAACCAGATATGGCATGACTCAGAAAATGCAAAACAAGCAAAGACTTCTTAGATTAAGGTACTCTTCTTTCTTTACTGTCTCTTTTCAAAAACCAATCTTGAGGTGGAAAAACACAGAAAAAACATCTGAGAAACAACATGACTGTTGTGTAAAACGGATGTTTCATTGAATGTGGATTGAGGCAATTGCTCATTGGAGCTTTCAATTAAAATTAACATTGAGATTCTACTACTTTGTATACAATCACATATGTAGCCTTTTAAATGCAAAATACCTTCTGCTCAGCAACTGAGCTTCACTATTTGTCTTCACTTTATAAAACAGCCAGGAAAATGAGTCTTGTAAACTTTCTTAATTAATTTTAAGAAAGGTGAAAAGCAAAATGCTGTAATGGGAGACGAATGAGATATTCCATACTAATAAGGAAGTGTAACAGGATAATTGTATCCTGTTACACATCCTTTTCCACACCATGGTTACTCAAACATAAGTTCCATGTGACTTTCTCCCAATTAAATGTGTGTGCAGAGGCAGCCAATTCTCAGAATTCAGGCTACACTTGAACCACTGAATGTTCCTTTTTAAAAAATGATTATTAATTATTGAAAATAGTTATCACACTTTTCAACTTCCAGAAATTTCTAGTGCTATGTCAAGAATTATTTTAACTGCAGTAATATAGCTGTTGGTAGCGGAGTCAATCTAGAAAATGCCTTTGCCGTATTTTGAACACATGTAGGCAAAAATCAAGACTCTGCTGGAGATGTCTGGCACAAAGGTAATCTAGTTAGAGTATATTCCAAATCCTTTGAATTTTCCAAATTAAGGTTGTTGTTTTTAACTTCTTTAACTTTCTTCCAGGATTTTTTTAATGTTATCATCTAATACCTGCTGCTACTCCAATCAAAATGTTTGTGGCCCAGAAACTATTACAAAGCTTTACTTATACTAACATGGTCCATTTCAAACAAATTGGCTGACTTTATGATGGTGAAGTTGTGTCATTAAGGTGGTATTAACTTTTAATGATTGGAAATTTTTTTCTCAAGAAGATCTGTCCTCAACCTGGTCCTTCAGGTCTGCTGACTTTGTAATCATTTTAAATTCCAATGTGATTAGGGATGGATGGATGGAAGCATGGATACATGGATGGTGAGATGGATGCATGAATGAATGCCTGGATGGAGAACTGAAGACAACAGTTGAGATACATGTAGATGACCTATAGGCTATTCAAAGCAGGTCATAAGAGCAGTTGAGACTTGGATATTTAACTGGGCAATTTATTACTGAGGTGAAGATGGATTTAAGTGAAACTAATTTGGCTATTGAAAAAAGGTTAGGATGAATTAGATTGACTAGAAAGCAACGTAGCCAATGATAAATTAATCCAAAATATTTGGTAGGTATCAAGCTGCTTATTGTTGGATTAGAGAAATACTCCTTAGAATTTGATTTGTCTTTCTAATTCTGTTCCATGGGCTAAAAAAGTGGGGAACTAAGCTCTTCCCTTGGAAGACTGACATCAAATAAAGCAGTTTGGTCTTAATTCAATGTGCAACTGACAGGAAGAAGACAGCAGAATTTGTACCTGTTATAAGAGGGAAGGCAAGAAGACATATTCTGAGGTCGAGCAGAATATGTAAGGTAGATTGGATTTAGTATGGGTTGTGAAGGTACTTATCTGTACAACAAGAACCTAGAAGTGGGTGTTACACCAAGCAGATAATTCCCATATAAACTATAAACATATACAGATATCCCAAGGGCACAAATTTTATCACTACTCACGTTTGGTCTCAGCCACTGTATTTTTCTGAGTTTCTCTTCTGGAAACAAATTAAGTCCAATGGAATGACTGTTTGCTGGGAATGTATCATCTTCAAAAAGTAGGCCCTGATGCAGGCAGTAGTTTTGCAGTTTAACAAAATCCTGGTTGTTAAATTGCAAAGGGAAAGCTGGGCTTCCTTCAGTTGCTTGATTTTGCTCCTTTAATGAGAAAAGGGGAATGGAGAAGAAGTTCATTAGCTGACAAATTTAAGAACTGGAATTTACTGGGGGGGGGGGAAGATAACTCCTATATCATCAAATCAAAAGGACCCAGATTTGTCCAAAATGTACAGTCATCTTATGCAGAGAAATGTAGAAACAATTAACATTCAAACGGGGGAAAATCAATAGTGGGCACTTTTTCTAGAATTTAGTTTCCTTATGATCGATGAGGAATTTAACTCAGCGATTGGTGACATTTGGGAGCCTCAGAGCTGCATTTAACAATTTTGGAGGGTGGTGTCAAATCATTTACACAGTCAAAGAAGCAAAATTGTCCAGATTCCATAAGGTGAGTTAATACTCACGTTAGGATTAAAGGACATACTATTGGAAATGAGAAGGATCTCCATCTCTAATTTATTAGTAAGTTAATTCAAGAGTCTATTGGAACATTTTGAATCTAAAACATAGAACAATAGAGTTGGAAGGGACCTTAAAGATCTTCTAGTCCAATTCTCTGCTTGAGCAGGAGACCAGATAGTATTCCAGAGAAATGGCTGTCCAGTCTTTTTTTTGAAAACCTCCAGTGATGGAGCACCCACAACTTCTGAAGGCAAGCTGTTCCATTGGTCTCTTCTTCCTTTTTATTCCAAACTGGACTGAACTGCTATTTATGAGATAAGCTATGATTAAATCACCTTATCTGTGATCGTTTCTGTCTAAATTCTTATTATTTTCTGAGTCTACTGCCAACTTTCACAGGTAGAGCATGTGTACAATTCAGAGGAGTCCTTATTATTCTCTGCAGATCAGGTTGATTAAATACCCTACTAAAGATCATGATCTGATAGGAGCAGCTGGGCTATGAAAGTGTACAGTCCATGATTGAGTGATGTGCATGGCAAATTGGATGTTACAAGCAGGATTTCCTGCACATGAAACTAAAATCTGGGTTTTCAATCCACTTGCTTCTGCCTACAAGTGCTTTGCCCAATAAAAGTAAAACTACTGGGATAATGAATTGGGCACCATCTGATTTGATGAAAATGAATTATGAATTATGAACCTGACTAAAATGATGAGTCTATATAAAATTGCTTATGTAGCTGAGCATTCACACCAAAGCTTCTCCCAGAGTTTATTCAAGCCCTTATTTATGCCCTCATCCCATGGACCAAATGGTTGCAGATCTTAAACAACACGTTTAGACCCGGATTCTAAAGATTCTAAGAACTGTGGTGGTGCAGTGGTTAGAACGCAGTACTGCCAACTACTTCTGTTGACTGCCAGCAGTTTGACAATTCAGTTCTCACCAGCTCAAGGTTGACTCAACCTTCCATCCTTCCAAGGTTCGGTAAAATGAGAACCCAGATTGTTGGGGGCAATGTGCTGACTCTGTAAATCGCTTAGAGAGGGCTGTACAGTACCGTGAAGTGGTATATAAGTCTACATGCTATTGTTATTGCTATTCTTTGCAGACTGATTTTGCATTTTGCACTAGCTCTCTCCCACAAAGGTACATTTCCCATTAATTGATTAATTACTTTCTACATTGACTTAAATAAGGAAAGCAGCTCCTTTTAAAAAATGAAATTGGGTGACATTCCACGGACACCAAGAATTAATATTCTTTTCCTGGTTCTATTTCTCCTACAGTGGATATAAATCTTATGTAATGTAGCATAACACGACAAGAGAATGGTTTCCCCTTAACAAATACTCATTTGCAACAGAGCTCAAGTCCCTGCATACAAAGATCTATTTCTCCTAATGCAGTCCCAGCAAAACTGATGACTAATTCCACAGGCCAAATTAAAACTAACAGAGCTTGAAGACTGGGGCTGACACATGCCCAATCTTTCTTTTCACTCCCTCTTGATGAAGAACAGAAAGAACTTTTAGCATGTGAGCATGTATGCTTAATTACATTGTTTAACACACTGGGAATAATTTAGCAAGTGAAGTGAAAACAAGAAGGTATTTCTCCTCTGTGCTGCAGAAGAACCTTTTCAACTTCATAAGAAAGGGTATTGGGAGACCTGTGTCAGAGGCAGTATTCCCTGCCATTTAAAATTTCCTGTTAGAGAAAAAGAGGATGATCACTAGCCAAAGATAGATAATATTTAGACTTGTGATTGTAAAAAGCTGCTTTTTTGTTAGTTTAGCTGGATTAGTACTGTCCACTCTAAGAACATAAGAAGAGTCACAGTGGCTCAGATTATAAATCCATCAAGTTAAGCCTGCTACTACACCAACCAACAAGCTTGGATACTTTTTTTTACTGTATCTTGCATTGATGACTTTAGAACGATTATTAGAAGTCACTTAAGACAGCCAATACAGTCTGGAGATTTTTCTAATATTCTCCTCAGATTTTACCAATGAGTTCAGAAAATAAATGCTTCTTGCCTGAAAAGATCTGATGCATACTAAATTTTACAAAACAGTTTCAACAAATTAGAATCAGTGCTAATTATGGCATTGGCAGGTTAACATACGTACATAGTTCACGGATGTGGTGAACTAAAGGAAAGAGGTATCTGTGTTCAACTCCTCCATAATAGAAGTTACTAATATGTTGTTTTGCTGGAGATCTGAATGAAGTGGCTTTGTTGAAAAGATGGACATCAGATTTTCTTTGTTGAAGGTGTAACAAAATTGTGAGTCATGTGAACATTTGATATCTTTTTGGAGTGATATTTCATGTTTATAATTCATCTCGCTGATCCCATGAGCCCATCTCTGAGACTTGGTCATCTCATCTATTCCCTTGTCTATTAAAAAAAAATTCATTTGGATAAGAATGCAAAAAGTTAGAATAATAGGAGAAAATCTCCAGTGTGATAACCTGGCAAGTTTCTTGATAGGGGAAAATGTGAGTATGACGCATTGCATTCCGATTATGTTTGTATACATCTACACATATCATCTCTAAATGCCATAATTACTCATACCTCATCTCTTTGCTCACATATAGTTGTCTCCGGCTGGAATGCCATCTGTTCTATAGTGAGGATTTTTAGATAGTAGTATCTCAGCAAATGACTGAAAACTTGCTTCAGTAATTAAGTTATACAAATTAATCTCTCTCTCTCTCTTTTAATTTACCTGGACAAGATTGTTTTGAAGTCTCTCACACACCCACACACATACTTCCATTCTCTGTGTAGATATTCTTTTTTTCGCTACAGTGTAAAGTAGTGAGGATACAGCTTATATGACAATGTAAATGTGCTCTCCCCTCAAAATAAAGCAAAACAAATTAAATGTAAAAGATGCCTTATTGTAAATCAGACGATATCACCAAAGTTCGTGATATCATAAGCAACTCAAACACAACAAACATCTCTCCTGAAGATATCTTTGAAATTACCAGAGGTCACCCTGGGTACAAATACAATGACAGCTCTATGGCCCCAAGATTTTGTAGAGTTGTTTGTAAAAATGAGTCCATCAAACGTATATTCATTCATACAATAAACACCATTGCAAAATCCAATCCCACCCATAAAAAACTTCACTCAAGACCAGACTTATCCATACTGCAAAGAATCCACTCCCATGAATTCCGCACAGAATTCAGAAACCATCTAGACAATGGAGAAAAGGACCTGTACATTGACTACTGTGCTGATTGCATCAAAATAAAGTCACACAACCCACAACTCCGCATCCAACCCCACCCCATCCGATCCAACATCACTCAAAACTAGGCATGCATGCCCCTAACTACCTCTATTCCAACCACAACTGGCCTTAAATGCAAGCTACTCAATGCAAGAAGCCTTGTAAATAAAATACCTGAATTTCTCCTCTTACTAAATACGGCTAAATTCAACATTATATTTGTCTGTGAAACATTTATTTATTTATTTATTTATTTATTTATTTATTTATTTATTTATTTATTTATTTATTTATTTATTTATTTTATTTATTTGATTTGCCAATTGTTTACAAGATAAGTATAAGTGTATACATAGTTGTGAATACATGAAATGGGTACATATAAGAAAAATAAAAGAAGAATAAGAGAAACAATAGGACAGGGACGGTAGGCACGTTGGTGCGCTTATGCACACCCCCTACAGACCTCTTAGGAAAGGGGTGAGGTCAATAGTAGACAGTCTAAGGTTAAAGTTTTTGGGGTTTGGGGAAGAAACTACAGAGTCGGGTAGAATATTCCAGACATTGACCACTCTATTGCTGAAGTCATATTTCCTGCAATCAAGTTTGGTGCGGTTAACATTGAGTTTGTATCTATTGTGTGCTCTTGTGTTGTTATGGTTGAAGCTGAAGTATTCATTGACAGGTAGGACATTGCAATGTATGATTTTATATACCATGCTTAAATCAGACCGAAGACGGCGTAGTTCAAGGTTTTCTAGTTCTAGAATTTCAAGTCTGGTGGCATAAGGTATTCTACAACGAGTAGAGGAGTGGAGAACTCTTCTTGTGAAATATTTCTGGACTTTCTCAATTGTGCTAATATCAGATACGTAATGTGGGTTCCAGACTGATGAACTGTATTCGAGTATTGGTCTAGCAAATGTTTTGTATGCTCTGGTTAGTAGTGTGATATTACCAGAGAAAAAGCTACGTAGGATTAGGTTAACAACTCTTAATGCCTTTTTGGCTATGTAGTTGCAGTGGGCTCTAGCACTTAGATCATTAGAGGTGAGTATTCCAAGGTCCTTTACAGAGCTTGGGTCATCAACAAGATCTTGACTATTCAGCTTGTATTTTATTTTCTGATTTTTTTTTTGCCAATATGTAAGACAGAGCATTTATTTGTTGAGATTTGAAGTTGCCATTTGTTTGACCATTCTGATACATAGTCAAGATCTTTTTGTAGGGTAGCAGTATTGTCTGTGGTATTGAACAGCTTTACATCATCAGCGAAGAGAATGCAATTGCTCTTAATATGATCACAGAGGTCATTTATGTAGAGTATGAAGAGAGTTGGTCCTAGAACACTGCCTTGGGGGACACCACTA